TCCTCGAACAAATAATCCATCCATTCTTCTTTGTAAAAATAAATAAATAAATAAAAGGATGAATGGCCCATGTTAGCAGATAACAGTGTTGAAAATTAATCTAAAAGTACAAAGAATATACTATTTTTATTTATTTATTATTTAACCAGGCAAATCTCATTGAGATCTCAGATCTGTTTTACAAAGGAGGCCTGTGCAGACACACATTTTATATATAATCTGAAGAATACCATCCAAAATAGCTATAGATATACAGTTTATCAACATGACAGCTACAAGATCTATTTTCTCACCCTTGTTCCGCAGAAGATCCCTGCAGAAAAGATTGTAGGCGGAAAGTTCCCGTGTGTATAACTTCTTCCTTACTGGTTTAGGGAAGGATGATGGTTTTAAAGACCTTCTATGATTTCCAATCCAGTTCTAAAAGACAGAAAAAAGCAACAATGAAGCCACTTTGATCTTATCATATCAAATTATTTCTCAGCATTGGATGCATCTGTAGTAAGAGAACGAACAAACCTACGTTTATAACAGCTGGTACCAAACCAGTGGCCTCTGCTGCTGCAGCTATCAGTGGTGAGCCCACCCTGGTCATCCCTTGCTCAAAGGCATTTTGGAGGATTACCTTCTGCTCCTCTGATATAACTGTTCTCTCTTATGAAATAATCAAGAAAAAAAAAGAGTATTGGCAAAGATAAAATTGAGGACAACCACACGTTTTACAGCTCATCACACATACCTCTTATTGRCATTTGACCTAAAGGAGAAACAGAAAACACAACTATGATTATTAATAAACAGAAGGTAACTTTTTTATGATGTGTGCTGCATGAATATTTGCATACATGGTGTTCTTTGGATGGTTCCTACAGTTTAAGGAAAGTTACATTTACGACTTTTTAAGATTTTTAATGCCAAATGAAATTAAATTTAAGACCAATTTTACAATCAAAACAAATGACAAAAATAAAAAATACAAACTGTCAGAAACTCATGAATCAAAATCAAAAAGAAAAAAATAGTATAGGTCCTCTGGACGGGTTCTTCTCTAATGAAATGTTTCGTCTCTCCTCCAAGAGACTTCTTCAGTCTGAGAGTTTCAGGCTAAATTCAGGCTTTTAAGCCCTGCCTCCATGTGACTGATACTCACATCACATGGCTATCATTCACACCTAATTAACACCTATGTTAACAGGGGGTGGAGTGATACTGGCAATAGCAGCACTGTAGGAGGGGGACAGCTGAAAACGGAGGCCTCCACCTCTGTTTAATGATGGACGGTCTTTCTTCACAAAAATGTCTTCTTTTACTCCTCTCTCAAACCAACGTTCCTCTCTATCAAGAATGAGAACATCCTCATCTCTGAAAGAGTGACCGCTGGCCTGTAAATGAGTGAAAACTGCAGAGTTCTGGCCATTAGATGTAGCTCGTCTGTGTTGGGACATTCTTTTGAACAGTGGCTGCTTTGTTTCCCCGATGTATAACTGGTCGCAGTCCTCCTGGCACTTAACAGCATATACAACATTGCTCTGTTTGTGCCGGGGCACCGGATCTTTGGGGTGAACCAGCCTTTGCCGTAATGTGTTTTGGGGTTTGAAAGCCACTGGGACATCATGTTTAGAAAATAAACGTCTCAGTTTCTCCGAAACACCCGCAACATACGGAATAACCACTGGTTTGGGTCTGGGTTTGGGGTCTTCATTTTCACCTGAAGGTTGCATGGAATCCTGTCTGTGTTTCCTGTCTGCTTTCAGGAAAGCCCAGTCAGGATAACCACACTGCTCCAGGGCCTGTCGTGTGTGTGATTTCTCTTTCTGCCTGGCTCCTGGGTTTGTAGGGACACTGTCTGCTCTGTGGTACAGAGTCCTGATCACTCCTAACTTGTGTTCCAGTGGGTGGTGGGAGTCAAAACGCAAATATTGGTCTGTGTGGGTGGGCTTACGATACACACCAGTTTCCAACCGTCCTCCATCCGAAACMGAGACATCGCAATCCAGGAACGCCAACCTGCCATTTTTTCCATCCTCTCGTGTGAACTTAATATATTCATCCACAGAGTTGATGTGATCAGTGAAATGTTGGACTTCCTGGGCTTTCATTTTAACCCAGGTGTCGTCAACATATCTGAACCAAYGGCTCGGTGGCATCCGGTGCATCAGGACACGAATCAAAGTATTTTTGGTTGAATTATTCAAATATTGCTAATAGACCAGTTGTTTTTATCCATATTGAACTATAGCAGAAACCTTCTTAGCAGTGAGTTTTAAACTTTATTTAATTCTTGGAAATCCTCTAACAACCCAAAATTTGGAGTTTGAGGACCCACAGTGGGGTCTTAACCTCAATTTGCTGTAGATGAAACCTTAAAGTGCCTGTGACATGAAATTTTTCTAAGTAATATGAATGCATTTTTGGAAAGATAACATTATTAACATATTATGGAACAAATTTCACGTTGCTTAGATGAACAGCTGTTGACATATTTGCATGTGAAGCAACAGGAAGTGATGTCAAAGAGCAATGTCTGCATGTGAGTATTTAAAAAAATAAATGATACCAACTATTTTAATATTTGAGATGAATTACATCATCCTATTTACAATATGTAACGTTTTTAAGACCTCTGAAAGATTGATTTAAGACATTTTAAGGCTAATTAAGGCCTTTTTTTTTAATTGATGATTTCAAGGCCTTTTAAGACTATTTAAGGATCTGCAGGAACCCTGAAAAGGTACTGCGCTATGACATGATCCTATCAGTCACTTATTGTTCTGAGTTAATATACGGCAATAGATGTTCTTAAGGCTATATAATGCAAATCATAAACACATTAAATGGCTGTGAGCACCATTATAAATGTGTTATAATGAGTTAAGTAGCTCTCCTGGTCTAAAAAAAGTTAATGATCTGGTAAAAATTGAGAATWTATTACCCAGTGTTCACTTTTTAAATGCCACAACTATACTTGTTTTAAAACAGCCACATGTAGCAAACACGTTAGCAATGCTAAATAACACAAGCCATATTCCTGCTGCAACAGCAGCATGCCATGAGATATTAAAGTTGCATGTTCCCTTTATAACAAACATTTCTGCTAATTAGAAAACCGCATTAAACTGCTGAAATACACATTTTGGTAATTAGCATCACATACCACCGTGACACATTAGCATCGAGAAACAATTCGCCAGCTACGCCAGCACACATTATGACGCTTTCATCTTTTCTTTGTAAAAAATACTTTCTGTTAAAGAGAAAATCTGACGAAATATATATTTTGGTAATTATCTACCGGCGASTTTTGAGCGCATGTGCATAGGGAAGCCTAGCGCCTGACATGTCAACCTGGTAAACGCTGAGGTTGCTGTAATTTGTGCAAATTCAACAAGCTCAAAAAGCACATTTATAGTCTAGATATTTATGAAAAACCTAATCTACGATCCTAAAATAAATTTTAACACAAATCCCTTTAGAGAAAATACATCGAGTCTTATGGTGTTTCCATAAGATCCCAGGTTTTCSCTGATAAATGTACGAGAGCGTCTCGCTTCGCGTATTTGTGATCAAGTCTATGAAACGGTCCATTCACCTTTGATTCAGTGATAACGACCTACTGAGTCCACTAGTGGGCACAGATCAGACGGTCTGAAGCCATTCTATGGGACTGATAACTGCYAATATCGTCCATTTAATGGATTAAAAAAATCTATTTAATTGATCTTGGATCAATTTCATTTCAATTTGGGAAAATCGATTTACAGGACGTGAAACCGATTCTTCCCCATGGTGTCTAATGTGCACGACTGAAACACATTTCTCTGTTTTGTCCCTCCTGGCTTGCTGTATATTTACATCCAGTTCAGTGAAAAATATTTTCTTCATGGACACAAAATATGCACTCTAGAGTCAATTCTTTAAGAAAAAAAGCTTAAAAGATTTAACATCAACATAAAATCTCAACCAAAGCATATAAAATTCTAGTAAAAGAAACGTAGTGCAAGATGTTAATAAATGAACTAAATCATGCAAAATTCAAGTCACTCTCTGGAAAACCTGTAATAAACATTTACTAAATATTTATTTTTTATTTATTTAACATATTTCTCAATATATAAAATTTAACAAATATCAAGACAACATCCAACTCTTTGTATTGTTACATCAGTTGTGTAACTTATTTCTTTAAAGTGTAAACTCTTGAAAACAAGACTGTTTTGTCTTATTGCACAAATTAAAATCCAGCTCCACGTGTTTCTATTGATGCCATTTCCACGCTAGAAAAATTGTGTGATGGAGGTCCATGGAAGGCAAATAAGTTTAAATCAAATAAGAGGATGCAGTTAAAATAAATAAAAGGTATTTAAGCTACGTTTTGAACATCCAGAACACGTCCAACACTTGTTGGCTGCTTGTGCTCTTTAGGTCAGACGTGT